GCTTATCTTTCCTTAAACCACATTGTAAATGCTTGTGTCGCTCATTTTACTCAGTTTCTAACACCCCTCTAAATGAAAGTGTAAACGGTGATGAGTTTTGCTCATTATTTATAACAAAGGAGGCTGACGCTTATGTTTCTGAGTAAAATGCTTTTTGTCTTAGCGAGTAGAGTAGCAGATTTTTGTTTGTTTTAGCCTTAGGCGACGATGAGCCCTTACAACTCTCCTACGCACACTCCTCCAGACTGGGACCCAGGTACCGCTGATGATGAAGATTATCTGGTGGAAAGCGAGCCCTTTGAAATTGTAGAAGCTCCTTCAGACCGAGGTGACTCATATTCCATCTGTTTTGCTTCTGATCGTATTTTCTTCCTTTCATACTGCATTGGTGAATATTTGGATACTAGTAATTGTGCTCAATTATTTGTCTACCTATATTTCAATTGGATTTTATTGAATCAAACCAGAATCCGTCTCCGATGGCGAGGGGGAGATGCAGGAAACTGCTCCGATCACAGATAACTCTAAGTTAGTGTTGAAAAAACACAAGGGTATGTTTCACAATTTCTTGCTTTTTGCACTTTTTGTGTTGCATGATTGCACAAATTCTTAATTCCTCGAACCCAAACCTGTGAAACATTCTTTTAGTCACCCATCACTTTCTGTTGATTACAAAAGGGTGCATATGGTGTTTCTAAAAGGCGTCAAAATAATGTGTAAATAAACAGTAATACGTAAGTGTTGATCCTGCAATTGTACATGTTCACAAACATTATTACCACGTTGTTAGCTTGTTGCTGCGTCGGTTTCTGCATATCAAGGCTGAAGCCAATCACATCCAACCGAAATGTCACCGAGATATTGAAATAAGTTGTTTAGAATATAATACTACTTGCGGAAAGATATTCTGAAATATTTAGTCAGGCATGCACATTTTATAGTTAATAACGGGTCGATGAGAGGAGTAATTGTCTTACTTTATCCTTTCTTAGATAGCGTCTTCTGTGTGGATGTCCACCCCAACGGCAGAATTCTTGCCACTGGATCTCAGGACCACACTGCAGTTGTTTGGGATCTTACAACAGCTAGCGACCTTTTCACCTGTACAGGTGGGTCAAAAACTTGAGAAGTTTTAAATGCATTTTCTCCAAGAGTACTATTAACCACTTAGATAAATGACATGCTAAAGGGAATGTGAAGGATTTGGTTACTAGAGCATTTGACAAATGGCACAGGCTTGCCCATCATTTGCTGTCCCATGCTGACGACAAAGAGAGAAGTGTTCTATTGTGTTGGCTAAATGGACGTTCGAATGGAGGCTTTTGCATTTGCGGCTTGTAACAAGAGTTTTATGGTGTTTTTAAATGATTTCAGTCATTCAGCCACTTGATAGTAGGCACTACCCAAAAAGTATTTCAAACCGTAGCTTCTTGAACTTTCAAATAGCCAAGGGTCTTCGTGCCCTGACTTTTCGTCTTCTGGATAAAAAACATTCTGCATGCAATAATTAAGCCGTTGTAGTTTTTGAAGTTGTACTCTTGTCCAGTAAGGCTACCAAAGTGAACATTGGTGAATTGTTTTCCACACTAATGTCATTTCTCTCCAACTACCAACCTTTATCCTCACAATTAATAATGCGGTAAATTTTTCGGTAGTAGTGTAAAATGGAGCCACGACCTATACATCTGCATGTCATAATCGCACTAAACTTCACTGCTGAGGTGTTGTTTTAGCCGAAAAGGAATTTTCTGAAGGGGTATTTTTTCACTATTTTCCCTTCTGGATCAAGAGGTTGACCCTCTGTAGGTGGCATGTTAAATTAGCGGTTTTGGTATAGCAGAATGTTTGGAATTTACTCATGAAACATTTTGTCTTGCATCGTGGTTTCATCCAAATGTGCCATCCAAGAAAGAGGACAAACATTGCTTCTCAATTGGGATTAAAACTTATCCTTTCTCCTATCATTCTTCCTTTGTAGTCCGTCAAAAGGAAGTAGAGGAATTTAATAAATTAGTAGCATTTTAGGATTCATGCGTCTCCTTTCAACAGGTCACGAGGATTCAGTCATATGCGTCAATTTCAGTCCTGGCAATGGTCAGTATCTCGCAACCGGCGATATGGCAGGAAGCGTTCAAATCTGGCGTCTGGGATCATCAGCTTCTTCCCCATTTACGTCCAACGGCGTCGCTGTTACTCCACATCGGAGCCTCTCGTTGAGCGAATTGATTTGGCTCCGTTGGTGGCAACTTCCGACATCTACGGCTGGAAAACGTCATGCTCCTTTGGTTCTATTTACTGGTTCTGAAGATGGTCTCGTCTCGGCCTCTCTTGTCACCACAGCCAGTGGGGGTGATGAACGACCTCCCAAGTACCTCATGGGTAAGATGTTGTATGTGAAAGAACGATCCCAGGGATTACAGATAACAGTAAGAATTACATGTTACTTTTAGCAATGCCCCCTTTTGAGTTTTATGTCACCACTGAAAGAGTGAAAATATCTGAAAGAAGTTTTGGTACCAATGTGCGGGCATGATATCAGGACAGTGCCATCAAGTGGAGCTCAATATTCCACGTGGTTAAGCGTACTGTTAATCAAAATATCCATCAATACGAGCATAGGATTGGTTCCGTTACCGTTCTGGCTCATAGCCCTTTGATCTCGTCTACTAATCACTGCCCTCGCCACTCCTTGGAAGCACTTTTTCATTTCAGTTATTATCACGTAGTCGAAGTTGGCGAGGCATTTCTTAGATTTTTCTGTGACTCCCTCTGCTACGTCTCCTTTACAAACTCCATTGTGAAGGTTAATCGACCTTGTGTTGCTTAAGGCCAAATACCATTCCTTGGCGATCGTATTTCCTATCGCGGCAGCATGTCGTAGCAACATTCGTCTAAAGGCAAAAGTATCTGATTCAACACAAGATATAAGATTGCTTCAAGAAGCTATCTACGGGATTCGTTCATAATTCAGTTTTTCTCAGGCTCTTGTAATGTGAACAGTTTTCATTTTTTGTTTAACTCTCATAGCTCGGTATTTTCGTAGATTGTGAGCAGCTTGTTGACATGTTGCGTTTTGTGTCTAGCCATTGTACAGAACTCGACAGCGGATTGATTGCCAAAAAGTGCTTTTCATAGCATATCTATTGTGAGTTCCTATAGAACCAGCCTTCCACGGCAATGGTGTTGCACTTCCACTATTGCTGACCCCTTTCGGTTGTTAAGGAATTTGCGTCGGTTTCATCAGTCTGATGGTAACCAGCTTGGCTTAGTGAATAGCGTCTGTCAAGTACCTTTTATTGATGATTTTAGTGCAATATTGACGATTTTGGAGGGATGAGGTGATACAGCCTCTACTAAAATAATGCAAATGGCATTTGTATTGTAGGTTCCGGTTCTGCGGTCGTGGGTGCGGCTGTAGTGCCCTCGACCTATGCTACAGAGCGGCCTTTCCTGGCTGTGGTCGGTCGTGATGGTGATTTCCGTGTCTGGGACCTCAAATCCGAAATGGTGCTTCTTCACGCTATCATCCAAACACCATCTTCCTCTTCAAGACGTCAACAGGATGACGAGAATGGAGAGGATGTCGAAATGGAGGATGAAGAAAGGAATGAATCAACCTCAGGTTATCTCTGTATGGCTGCTCCTCAACCCAATACTCCCCCCACCTCGAACATTGTCGACATTGTTGCGGTGGCGGGCTACGAGACGATTGTCTTTGTGCCTTGTCGACCGCCACCATCGGAGGAAGTCGAAAATGGACCGAAGAAGATTCCTACGAATGCGGTAACTGTATCTGTTTCTTGCCCTTTTCATTGATAGATGAGTCAAATTGACGGATGGAAATCTTCTTTGAACTGACATTAAAATAGTTTATTTTATACCGATTCTCGATTTGGATTAAGTTAGAACTGGGGATTAGCTACTTACAGGAGTTAGTATTTGTGCTTTTTAAGTTAAAGGCATCAACATTTCTACAATCTTCATGTACATCTATATTTATCAAGTCAGTTCAGCAAATAATAAGTTATGATGGGTGAATGCTTCTTGACTGATTTAAGATGAGGAGTGCTATGATTTGATCTTTGAGTCCGAGAGATCTGACCGTCTTGAGTAATACTACGTCAAGTCCAATCATTTTGGTTATAAGTATTTTTGTTCCATTACAAATTTCGTATCAGAACAAACCAATTCAATGGTCTACAGAGCAGCTAGAGTCCTAATTGAACGAAGGGTTGGGTGAGACGAAGGGTGTAACTGGTTGAGTGATACGAAATATGCTCTGTATAGTTATTTGTGCAATGGTTTTAGTGAAAGTCCCGATTTCCTCTTGAAAACGGTTTTAACAGTTTTGGGCGCCACGTAGGAGTAGACTGTGGGCTGAGCATAGGCTGGTGGAGATGCTGACGCTGAGTTAAATGCTAACTAGTTTTTTAAAATGCGGATACATCCATATACCCTGTATCCATCCGTGCATGCACGCAAGCATGCATTCATCCATCCATCTTCCATCCTTTCATCCACCCATACATCCTCTGTTCATCCTTTTATCCATGCATCCATCCACCACGTATGCATTTACCTCTATTATTTGAATTTAAAACGACCTTGGAGAGTTCCCCTGATTGACGTTGTGCATGTGAAAGTAACAGACGGTTTTGATATGGGTGAGCTCTGAATGTCTAATAAGGTGACACCATGGTTGTCTGGCGTAAGTGTCATCATTCCGGTCGTTTTGGCTGGTCATCGCTCAAGTTTCCTGCCCAAAAACGTTATTACATTTACCGCCAGATGTCTTTTCGTTATATTATGACATTGCAATTAATTCTCAGCGATCGGGCCTCAAACACTGAAGGATGTAGTTACCCTTAAGTCAAGACCATCTCAAGAAATCAGTTAGTGGAATACAATTGGGTGCAACCAATTGTAGTAGGCTGGTAGAACGGACGTCACGTAAATTTGATGAACTTTATTTTCCCCAGCTTTTCATACCTTTGTCCATAATGGTTCGCTCTTTATGCAAACATTACTACACAGAAGAAGACCCTATTTTCGGCAACTTACTTGAACAAATAATGCCGTTTGCCTTCCCTTACCATGCAGTTGACGAGTGTCGCGCTGGAAGGTGCAGGAACGGTTGAGGCCATGCAGTTCTGCACAGCGTAAGTGCTTGTCATCTCATCTGTTTGGCTCCATTCCTCATTTTCTGCTCGCATTTTTGTCTTCTCTATAGTGTCCCACAACCAAGCAGTCAAAGGTGTATGTTATGGTAGTCACCTCAATTGAGATGTTAAAATATGACCTGAGATTAGGCCATGATGGGGTTGTGGGATTCCTATCCTCTCCTCCCCTCTGTATGCAGTCTCGCTTACGGTTGCGACACCTTCACTGTGTTTGATCTGACCCTTAAGTTCGTGCAATTTTCATCTCGTTATACTTAAAGCCTTCTAACCTTGCTAAAACACATATAGACCCGTTTTCTAAAGCTATACCTCATAAATAATCTTACCATGATGACGAAGTCACAAATGTGAGGTGGGAATCGGATTAGCTGGTGGTCGCCTCAATGTTGATGTTAAAATGTGGTGTGGAGTTAGTGACAGAAAAGTTGGACGATTTTTACTCTGCCGCTTGAGTTGCACACAGATTTCTAACACGTTAATATTGTTTACATCTTAAAGTAGTATGTTGCACCTGATTGGTGAGTCGTTTCGGTCTCCAAGATTTCAGTTAAAGCCTTACCAAACCCATGCCCCTGTTGCTGCTTCGAGATTCTTGCTTGAGAGAAAACGGACTCTTAAAATGTGGCTAATTCTATACATTAAATTATACCTCGGGGCAAGGTAGTGTTGCACGTTGTTTAGACTTGCTTAGTACAGTGACTTGTTTTATACCCAGAGGCACCATAGACAAAGATGCTAGTCACAAATGAATGCGTGCCGAACGCAAAGTGGGGATTGGGACCAAATGGGTACTTAAATGCAATCCCACGTGAGGAAATTAATGGAATTTCATAGGTGGTGACAGTCAGTGGTGGATGGCTGCTAAACTGACCGAATTGCCCATCTATTGAAGCTAAGGTAGGGGATTTGGTCAGTTCATGCTTGGGGACTGGCAATGTTTGCAGTATTTTTCTCCGTACACTTCCGAAATCGCATTGCAGAGGAAGTGGTCTGTCCAGCTTGGAATCTGCAATGGGACACGCCTTGCTTTGTGGTGACTAGCTTGCTACCGACGTTGCCGATTTGGTTCCTCAACGGAAGAGTAATTGTAAAGTTAATCACAGCGAAACGCACGTTTCACAGCCTGGTGTTCACACCTGTATGTCGTGCTCGCAGATCCGAGGGAGGCACGGTAGTGCGTTGATGACTTCATCGTTCCCGAGGCCTCATTTATTGCCCAATTGAGACCCTAGTGTTTTTTGATGATTCCGAGAGTACCATTCAGAAAATAAAAAGACTTTGTTTTCCCTTCCAATAAACCTAATCAACTTTAAACATGGCATTTTCAGTGTATAAAACGATTTGAACGCCTTTTGGTGTAACTCACAGCAAGGTGATGTGAAATCCATGCCGATGTTTACATGCTCGTGTCACGAGGCATAGGTAGGCTCTGGTCTGCTTTAAAGACTGCTGAAATTGGTTTCAAAACTGCAGAGAATGTTGTGTAGCACACCACTAGAAGGAGGTGCGCTATGTAGTGCAAAGCCTACTAGAAATGTAATTCTAGCAGCGAATCACCTAAACATGGACCACATTGGGCAGGAAAGATTCTTCATTCTTGGAAAAAGGAACGAGTTGCCTGTCGAGGTGTCAAGGCCTACTTTCAGCTATGTTGAGCTTGAGCGGTAGTGAGTCAATTCGATTGCAACTGCATCCACTACAATTGTAAAGTCGTAGAAGCTACTGACCAGATGGGTGACACGTGATCTGACAACAGGTGACATTGCCGTGTACTTGAGACCGTTTGCTGAGGAATGGATTCAGTACTCTATTTTAACTTTTCTTGGGCTAACAAATACTTTCTTGGTCGCCCTCATCCAAACGACCCATCCACCACTCAAACCACACCACTCGAAATGGAGAGGGACAGAGGTGCTGCCCCATCCTCCATGCTCTCCTCAATGAGAGCTTCACAAGTAATGGTTTTCACGCAATCTCGGCATTGGTAGTTGGTAATTAGGCGATTACTTGCGAGATGGAATAGATAGTTGAGAAATGAATCTAATGCAGAGGAAACGGTGGTGGTTAGAATTGAAATGTTTGTTTCCAGACGTAAAAGAGGTTGTAAAGGTAGAAATCTCGCCCTTGTGCCTCGTTGGAAATGTGCTAGTACTATTGAGTACAACAACAGTTATTCCGCTGAAGACAACCTTTCATACAGCTTCCAACAGCCATTCCAAAGGTAACGGCTACATTGTAAAACATTTCATATTTGAGCACACCTGGGAAATCGGCCAGTTCATATTTAATGACATGGTGAAGATTTTGAAAGGTACTGGTGGTAATGGTAGTGGCGTCTGAGGAAGCAGTACATTACATGCTTGACGATCATCAGTAATTGTTGAGATTTTTCATCATCTTTAGACATCCTTTCCTGGCATTTGGGACTGTAGCTGGACAAGTGGGCGTCTTTGATACGAGTTGCATGCGAATGCGGCAATTGTGGACCTATTCGGATCCCACTACTGGGGTGAGTTGATCTTCCCATTTTCCGTTTGCTCTTGAAGCCACTAAAAGCCACGTGGGTTTGGAGAGAAGGTTGTCATAGATGTGCACACGCATCCTGAGTCTAACAAATATATCGTCCACCTCGTGGTTGCATTCAACCTTACTGTGAATGTAAAATTACTCCTATCTTCTTTTCAAGAGGAGGCATTCCTTCTCTCTTTGCAGACAGACGAAGGTTTCGGCATCACTGCGCTGAGGTGGAGTCGTGCCAATCCCCTCACCTTCTTCACAGCCACTCTGGCCGCCACCGTGGTTGGTTGGAGTGCCGCTGGTGGGGGCACGCCACTGGTTGTTTGGCGTGGTCACTCAGAGGCCGTCCTTGATATCGCATTGAGTGTACCAATGGGAGAGCCGCCTCGTGAAGAGTTCATTGCTTCGGCCTCTGACGATACGACTGTGCGAATTTATGATATGGCAGAGGTCGCTAACCTTCCACAGTGATAGTTGGATAGAGTTGTGATGCTAATAGTCAACTGTACACTTGCTTCTCCTCCACAGTTACGGGCACGTACGTATTATTCAAATAACTGAACATATTTGACAGATTCGAGCTTACCTGTCTGTTTTGATGCACCTGAAAGAGGATAAAGTAGCAATCTGGATAGAAAAGAGGTGGAATCGTGCCATCACTGACAAGACGATTAGTTGTCGAGGTGTAGAGTCCCGAGTTATTTTTTAAGAGATGATGAAGGATAAGTGCGTTTGGAGCTGGAAGTCTGCAACCTTAAGATTGTAATCAAGTGTACGGAGTTTGGAAAGTCCACGCAGTATAGTGAACAATTGGGAAAAGTCGTGCGTCGCTGCAAATAAAATCTGGAGGTTATCAAGTAGAAATTTGTGCTGAGATATAAAAGATATTCTTTAGTGCGAAAGTTCGTTTAATAATAGACATTGGCAGACACAGCTGAGAAATCACATCATTTGATGAAATGCATAACTCCAAGTTGTGTTTGGAGATGGATTTTTGCCTACTTGACTGAATGAATTGCTTTTACTTTCGTGCAGTATGAAGTCGTATGATTTCTTTGGCTTATGCTTGTAATGCATTGTTTACGTGTCACTATTAAAGGCAATTTTTTTTTCACTTGATTTTAACTTCATTCTCCTATTGGTCATCAGAAAATATTGAGCTCGGAGTATTTGGTGAATTTTGACTCGTTTTTGGTCGCACCTCTTGTGAGTCACCTCAGATCGCTCCATCCACAGTAGTTCCTTCCCTTCTTTGATGTTTTGCTATGGTATTAGCCACTAAAACAAGGAACTGTGGGTGTCTCGATGCTGTAGATAGCACGGATTTTGAGTAATCTCTAAAGAAGATACACGGCACACGAGTCTGAAGATGGTGGCTACCAGGAACCTACAGGCGAGCTGGGACAGAAGTAACATTAGGATTGTTAGAATCCTGAATAATGACAGCCAACGATATCTCCGTTCATTAAAGAAACGTTGAAACCAAATACGCTATCTATTTCTCAGCACAAGTGGGTCAGTTAGCTAGCAAACAGCATGAAGTACGTGGCGCTTTTTGCAGCAGAGGTGAAGGAAGTGAAGAATAATTGGATGGCCTTTCAAGCCACTTGTTTGCACCACCCATCTGATTAGGAGCTTCTACGGCCTACTCTTTTTGGTTGATGGTGTTGCAAACGAATTGTTCCACCACCCGTCTTGTCCACCATAGCTAAAAGTTGGTCTTGATAGCTTAAAGTGGTCCGCCTTTGAGCGGTCCACTACTAAAATTGCATTTCTGGAACATTTGTGTACGGTATCTTCTGTAACGTCATGCTAGAACTCGCTCATGTTATGACGTACATCTGTCAAGAAGGGCCCTTTCAAAACGCGAGAACGATCACCAACTCACCCAATTTCATGAGGCACGACGTGAATTCAAAGAGGGAACTGGTGAAGAGTACGGTGAAGGTAATCCTACGGATAGACTGAAGCATCTAATCCACGCTTTTCTTGTCAACCACATAAGCAATGGCTTGCATTTAGCCAATCTCTGCAGGTTACAAGTCACTGTCTTGTCATACCAAAAATCGCCTAGTTTTTTTGGCTATCTAACACTGCTTCTCCTTTCCGTTGTTACTGCACCGTCACAAATTGTTATTTTAAATTCATTCTGACTAACTGCATTTTCAAAATGCAGGAGGAATCACAAGTTAGCCTGCCTCCATGATCTACATCACGGCACCCTTCCGATGGTACGCATTATTTTCTCCAAGTTGTTTTCCCTACTAATGTTGCTAGCAATAGCGAATTAAAATACATTTGCACGCTGATTGTTAAACAAGCAGTGGGATGGCATGCTCCAAGCTGAAATCTGTGAAAAGTGGCTTGGGGTTCCATAAAAGTGCTTAAGATCTACGAACTGCATACTTTGCAGTTATTCTATACCAGTGCAAGTTACGATACATCTTGGAAACGAACAACACCCTTCGCCTTCGTTTTGTGTTCATGACCCATGCAAACCAAGCCGTTTCGACCAACGTTTGCAGTATCAATGAAATCCTTGATACCAAAGAACAAAACTGATTCCATATTTTCCAAGTGGAACTTCTGAAGCTAACAAGCTAATCAAAAGTCTTTTCGGTGAATTTGGGTTCAGCG